AATACACAAAAATTAAAAACCAAACAAAACCCCACAAAAACAAAAAAAAAAACCACCCAAGCCAAAACCCACCAAGTAAAAAAAATACTACTTACTGAGCATGGGGTTTAGACATTTTAAGGTTTTAAACTGGCAAGAACTCAAAGCATTCTTACTCTAAAGTTTTGTTTCCTGCGTTTTGACAGCTCTCAAAATCTAAACAAAAATTTTGCCGAGAATGTGAAATCTTCTTTTACAAATGTGCATACTTTTCCTGAACTGTATGGTTGATTGTGACTATGCCACGAAGACCAAACCAGTAAGAGTAATAAAATCTAGTTTGGTCTTTAAATGACTTAACATGCACCTCCTTGTTTAAATATTACCGAGGGAGGTAGTCTTAATGTGTAAAAACAAACACACACACACCCTTCCCAAACAAACAATAATACCCTTTGATATCCCAGACTACTTTAAAACATGCTGAATGGTATGGGTGGTTGATGTATGATTTGCAAGATCCTTGCTAGCAACCACTATTTTCTTGTCAGAAAATTGCAAGATTTTTTATGATGCCAGGATATGTTTGACCATAAAGTTCTTTGGGAGTGTAGGCAATACTGTTCAAAACAAAATTTCTCTGTGTTAATTGAGGCTTCTGATTAGGAATACTACACTTAAGTGCCCACTGTTACAAAGAGAATTGGCTAATCAGGCGTTGTTAACAGCTCAAGGAGAAATCAGAACTATTTTGGGCAAGCTAGTCTATGTGTCTGTGATGGTTTGCTTCTCTAAAAAATGTGGAAAATTTTATATTTACCTCAGAGAATTTAAGGATCGATATTAAAAAAAAAACCACAAACAAACAAAAAAACCCCAAAACCAAACCAAACCAAAACAAAAAAAACCCCAAAAAACCAACAACAAACATCCATAATTTGGTCATATTTGCAGAGGGCTTTTTTAATACGTAAGGAAGTAATTTGTTTTTACCTTTACTTTGGGGAGGTTAGAATCTACAGTATTAAACTCGATGGGAAATCAAGTCTCAATGCACCTAGGTTTGAAGCATGATACTTTAGAAACACAGCCTACTTTCTTCAGGTTTAAAATTTTATACTTCTTTGAGTCTCACTGTGTAGTGTAGTGCAGTGCCAGGAAGAGAGAACTAAGCTTGCCATGCAGAGGTACCAGAAGCAGTGTAACTGTACAAGCCCAGCTTTCTATCTGGGGTAATTAGCCCTGCAGGAGTAAGCTCTGAAGACGTGAGCTAGTTCAGGGATTGCTCTAAACCTCAGCTCAGCATTGTATTTGTTGGCATGCCCTTTGTGCCTTAGTTTCCAATCTTAAAATCTTCTCGGCTCAAAGGAGATTAAAAGTTAATTCACTGGTGTTTCATAATGCATATACATACAGGGCTGGAATTAAGGTTCACGGGCAGCATTAAATGACATTTTTAAACTTCTGGATGTTTTTACTTAACAATCTTATTAAGTCACTTAATGAATTTTTTGAAATGTAGCAGGTCCTCAGTTCATCAAACTAGATGTTTTGAAAGAGAGCTTTAACCCGTTAAATAAAAGAGGATTACATATGTAACTAACTACAAGTGGGATCTTTCAAGGATAATTGAATTTCTGTCAAATGTTGTCTGTTACATCCTGGTTTAAGAATTATAGCATTTTGTGCTTCCCTGGGGGTAGAACTATTCTATAGTGTAAGTGGGTTTGGGGTGTCTCATTTTAAGACACAAATCAGCTTATTTCAAGAGAATGGCTTTTTTCTCTGTTGTTACATTGTTTAAAAGCTACTTATCTTCATCTAAATAGAAGCCACTCAGACACCAATTAGTTTTAACTGTTTAAACCTGTTTAATAAATGCAGCTTGCAAATCAGTCCAGCATTTGTCTGTAAAAAATCTTACATGGAATTTTTGTTATCTGTATTACTTTATAAAAACACAAAGCGAGTTACAACTTACGTCAGTGTGTCTGTTTGGTTAGTAAAATAATTACTGTTCTGATATTTCAGACTACTATTCCTCAGCGCTGTAATGCATTCCGTTTCTAATTTCAACTTTGTAGCTTAAGCTTTCACTGAAGTCATCGAAGATGGGACATACACCATTGCTTGAATATACTTGCAAACTTTCAGAGGTTAAACACTTACGGTCTATGCATAGTCAATGTGTATGGTAGTGCAATTAATGTTAACTTTAATGAAATGCATGAATATTTAAAACTTAATGAATCTGGCTTTACAGCATGCTTTACAGCCTGGTTCACATATGTGAACAGTATTGACTGTTGGCCTCTGGATGTCAGCAGTGTATCACGAAATTCCTGTAATCAGCCGCTGTTTTCCTGCTTCCTCCCAGAAAAATATCTGTGACTTGTGGTCTCTGCACACCTCCAGAACACCCAGTGCTTTTTCCTCTTATAAATTATTCACTTACTCTGTACCAATTAGTTCTACCAGTTGCTAGGTTTGTTATCAAGTTAAGCTTCAAGACAAGAACCTGAACTCAATGAGTGATTAAAAATTTATTAGCAGAGATGATTAAATATGCAGATAGTCTGTGAAGCTTGTTCTTGAAACCATTATATTACCTTTTTAATACTAATGATTTGTATAATTAATTTTAAAAAAGCCTGAAAGTCTTTTAAAAAAAATCAGAGTAGAACATAAAAGGGAAGAGATTAAATGCAGAGGAGGCAGCGAACCTGAGTATTAAAACAGCTCATTCACATGTATGGGCAATAAAGCGATTTCCTTACAGGAACAGTCTGTGGGTTTTTTTCTCCTCTGCTAAGTTGATTATTTTATTAATCTTTTAAGCAATTTGGGAAAACTATCAACTAGTGAGTCATATTTTCAAACCAGAACTTTATGCGATTAACGCTGATACTGCGGACAATTCCCCTAAACCATACGGTTAGAAACTAAACCATATGAAGATGCGGTTTCAACAAACATTTAAGCATATGCTGGATTTTCGGTGTGCGAGTAACCCCAGGGTTTCCGTGGGAGCCGCTCAGGTACGTTGATGCCAGCAGGGAGCAGCCGGGCAGTGTGGTGAATGACCAGGCAAAGGT